AGTTGGAGTTTGCGAATATACGTGGACGACGACCGTAAGATAAGGTGTTTTGTACTTTTGTCGCCCTCCTGTTAAATTCGCGTATCAACGTCAAGTCGCTCCGACGCAGCTGAATTTGGATGTTTGGAAGAAGGTTTGCATGGAGTAGATCTAATAACCTCTCCAAGGGCATGGGTGGTTCCAGTCTATTGACAAGAGCCACCAGGTTGGACACGTAGTCTCGCAATAATTCGTCCTCACCCTGCAATCGGTTCTGTGCTTCTTGCAACAGCCTTTGTTGCTGTTGCGTACTTGTGCCAAACCATTCTCAGGAGTCAGTGACAAATTCGGCATAACTGAGCTACTGGTACGTATTGTTATCGTACCAGGTCCTCGCGTTACCTTCGAGGATCTCTGATACGGAACAAAGTACTTCGTCATCAGTCAGCCCTGCGCCCACGCGCTGATCTTCCAACCTCGACAGAAACGTATCCACGCTCTGTGCCCTACTGCCCGCAAACCTCAATTTCCATCCGCGGACGATTTTCCCAACGTCTCTGGTTGTGGAGAGCCCTGAGGATAATTGAGGACCGGTGCCAGCCGATCCGCTTCGACTCCTCTGTCGAACAGGTGCGGATCTCCCGTACTCTTCCGGATCCTCTTCTCCTCCTCTTCTTCAGAAAGCTTCCGGTGGGGTGACGTCCCTTCTCCTGGGTACTGGTCTTGGAGGAGCCGGTGTGCTTTCCGGAATCCCAGAACCGTAATGACAGGTGAATGTGTCCTGAAAGTCCATATTACGTCTGGAGCACGGTTGAACCGAGTCGCGCTGTGAAAAACGGGTTGCATTGGCCATTTCATGCATTCCGTCGTCCAGCTCTCGTATTCGTTGGTTCATGTCCTGTGCCTTGCGCTCCGCACACACTTGTATTCCCTGCAGAGTCTGAAGGGTTTCTAGGATTCGACCTACTAGCTTGCGGTTGCGGTCGACTCCCTCCTTCAGATACTCTGTATTCCGGAAATTTTCGTTCGAGTATAATTCTTCCTGAGGTTCTTTCCAGGTGCATGATTCCTGCGACCTGAGATCTGGATTTCTCCGTCTCCTTTTCCACTCCTCCTGCTCCTGGGTGCGGAGGGCCTTCTGGATGAGCTCATCCTCTTCTTGGCGGCTAGCTTCACCCTCCGAGTCATTATCTGGGCTGACGAATGTCCTTGACATCTGTCAAAGATATTCCCTCCCTGTTGATGAGCCTCAGGGAATAGTCGCTATTCTCATCTGCGTTGAGGTTTTCCAACTCGTCACAGACTGTATCGAGCCACGCTTGTCGGGTGCGCCTCCTGCGCCCCGCCACTTCTTTACTGCGCGTGGTCTCTTCAAAATCTGTGACAGTATACTCTCCTAGCAACCATCTCCCGATCCTAGCCGCCTGCTGGATGACAATTCCATCCTAGCGCAGCTCCAGATCGGCCAACTAGCGTTGGCGCTGTGCGAAGGTCAACTCTAATGTCCAATTGTCGATTTGAGCTGACAACAGAGTCAACTTGCCTCCGCACGGGAGGTGTTCCTATCACCCAAGGTATGAGAAGGGTATACACTATTTAGTGCAACTACCCTTAACGCCTCCTTTTTATAAAGCACAAACTTGCTAGATTATGAGCACGTGCAGTCTCCGCAAACTATCTAATAATATTATAAAATATCCTACCTAAGGTCGGAGCCTGCTGTTTGCTTGCTCCGCTTGGCTAATATTTCCTGGACTGCACGCTTGGGTCGCGCTCTCTGCCTTTATCGTCGTTCAGGTGCTTCCAACCCCCCTTTATCCACCAAACTATGGCTGAAATAGGTTAACACCTGACTAGTCCAAACGATCTGAAATCACTTCGACTTACTAATAATTATCGCTTTCGGCCCTTTTTACAATAAACTTAACAACTTATAAGCAAAAAAGTCGAAGTAATTTCGGTTTTTCCCCTGCAGAGGGCGTATAGTTCACGATTTCGCGCTACCATCCGCTCAAACCTTCCTAAGCGCTTGCGCAATCGTCTCTCTATCTCGTTCGTCTATTACCATTGACGCACAATCCTATTCGTACGAAACAGGTCTTAATACCAGTTGGGCGCCGTGTAACGGGGGAGGTTATCTAACAAAATGGAAAATTTATTTAAGCACAAACTCTCACGATACAGAGCTAACAGCCGCTCCGTTAAACACGTATAGTTGTACGTGTATCCGCCTTTACTTCAGATGATTTCGTTTTGGTGTCTTCTTTCTAACTAAGTTGACCTCACCTTAAGTCACTTGACTTGTGACACTCGATGTATCTTAGGCGTGAGTGACTTTATGCCTAATCCGCTTAATCCCCTAGATGAAATCGGATTAAAACTTAAGCCTTTATAAATCGTTTAAGCTAATAGGAAATGAAATGATGTAATCGGCGAATAAATTAAACTGACTTTAATTAATAAAAAATCACTACAGTCTTTGTTGGGCCGAAAGACTAACGCACGCGAATAGGATTTTACAATGAATAATGTTCGGAGAGAGAGAGAGAGAGAGAGGGAAAATTCGAATTTTACCGCGAACTAACACTCGGCGCGAATACAAAAAAAATCGCTATTATGATTGACAAAATACTAAATGTATTTTGACACGCGATAATGAAGGGAGGTGCACCTACCCTGCGATGCAATTACGGCGATCAGCCGTAATTATTGATGAAAAAATCAACTGCCGATACTCCTCCAATTAATCAGCTGCGCTGCCTCACTCTGCCTCCAATCTGCTGCAATTTGCTGCTTCTGCACCGCTGCTGCTTATTGCCGCGATAACGCCGTTGCACTCACGCATGTAAAATCGTCCCAGAAAACTTTGTAAACGGCGAAACACAGTGCAAAATGATTTAGCGGTATTGTCGCGAAAACAGCTGAGGCGTAACTGCATATTTCAAACGCTCGCGCGCCCTCTCTCTCTCTTTTAATCGTTTCAACTAACGCGCGAGTAACAAAATCGTGAACGGATCGATTAATTGAATCGACTACCGTTGCAAAACTTAATAAAATTCTATGAAAAAATCTCAAACTACTCTTATAATTAGAATCATACTTGAATGTAGAAATTTCGAGATTAAAATAAATAATAAATAATAAAAGTCAGTATTCCCCAAGAAAGCGTTCTTCGCCCTTTACTGTTGGTACTTAATTTACAGCCAGACGTTTCAACCATAGAAAATATTAATATAGTCATTTATACTAATGACACAGCTATCTTAACATTCCATTCAAATGTAACAACGACGTTTTATAATTTGGCTACGAGAGTTACTAGTGGTTCCAATGTCATGAGTGGTCTTCAGAACTTCGTAGTCCTTTGCATTGTAACGGGGATTCTGTTACCCCGTTAAGGGTGATGCTAAGTGGCTACTCGGCCTGCGGGTAACTCGTATGGGGAACACGCGGGATTCAGCCCAGCGGCTCAGATATGCCCCTCGAAGGCACTCTTGCCTTCGGCCCGCGGAGAGCGTCGTAGGTCAGGTAGCAGCGGACGGTGCAAGCCGGCGTGCGCGTAACACGGGAGGGAGGAAGTGCCGAGAGGAAAGACGCAGTGGTTAGCAGAATGAATATTTATTAAGACTAAGATAACAAAGGAAGCGTACAAATAGCATTCGCAGGGAGAGAGGCAAGCAAGAAGCAAGCGAGAGAGAGAGTCTTAAGATCGAACGGGCACTTACATGAAAAGTTCGCAGTGGCCTCGGATTTAGACTTGACACGCGCAGGTGTTTGGCCACGAGGCAGCTCCCTCGGGCTGACCGGCTAAGATCGGCAAACACACACCCACGCACGCACGCTGCACCCTTCGTCTTTATCGGTAAGAAAAACCCGAGCTGTGTAGCACAAAGCACTTCTTCCTTACGTCGATCGCCGAACTTGCTTCCTCTCGCGAAGGCGGGCAGCCGATTCTCACTCGCACGCGGACGTGGTCCCCCTCTCTCGTGCTAGCTATTCGGCAGCGGCGCGTCTCAGCCAATTAGGCAACGTGCGCGACATTCGGGCGTCCACGCTTACACGCGTACACGCGGGTCTCTCTCTCTCTCTCTCTCTACTCGGTGCTCCCTGACTTACCTCGTGCCGCGTCCACAGCTACGGCCAGGCAAAAATACATAAAGAAAAAAATACATGGGTTATCAACGGATTATGATTAACTTAAGGGGAGAGAGAGACATAACGAGCCTCGGCTCGTTATAGCATGAAAAAAGGCTTTATGTTGAGCTCTGCGTACAAGATATATCGAGTCGTCGGCCAATTTTGTTTGATCAAAAATGGACGCAATGTGTTCTGTTAGCATTTATTTTGCAATCTGGTAGCTTGGTTAGCTCTCTCTCCATTGGTGCGCAGTTCCAAATCAATAAGAATGTTGTATAAATCGTTGTTAGGTAGCCCAAGACCCATGTTTATCTTGAGTAGAAGCATTGTTGTAATTATTCCCAACAATTATTGAAGGTATTTGATAATAAATATTGTCAGTGCAATCGATAGTATCATCGACAAGAAACTACAAAAAACTTTAAGATGTACACCGCCAAAGAACAATTCGCTGATAGTATCGCTGCTCTGCTTCATCTTTTCCCATCAGAAATGCTGCCTCAGTGTCAACTAAAGATGTCAGATGCTCAAATTCTCCGACAATACCAAAAAATCTGGAGCAATCGAATATCAAAGAAAGGGTGGAAAGATTCCTTCTCTTTTTTTCGCAGACTCCTTGCTTGCTACGCCAAGTTGTACTGTGTCTCTCTGTCTCTCTCTCTCTCTCTCTCTCTCTCTCTCTCTCTCTCTCTCTCTCTAAATTAAACAAAATGTCCTGCGCAGTACAGAAAAATGTAACAAATCATTTCTAATTTTTTTAAGTTATTACTTATTAAGTTATACATGCAATTCATTAATCAATAAAATTGATGAGGTATAATTACATAATCATGACGTAAACTCTATCATGTACATTGTAAAAAATTATGAATATTATTGCTTACCACTTTCTTGATGTTGTGAAGTAATTTCAATATTCGTCCAATGACTTTTCTCTTTCGAAAGAAATATAGAATTTTTAAACTTGCAAAAATCAATTCTGATGATTTTAAATTCAAACTTCTTCTACAACTTCTGCAAATTTCTACAGTATGGGTCAATTTTTTCTGAACTTTCCTAATTATATGTAGATGATTTTCATATAAAGACCACTTTTGAAGAATTAAAATTATTACTTGTGTAGAAAGTATTCGGTGCTGATTTTTAAGTTTACTACAATAGGTTGATATCTCACGTAAATCTCTAAAATTACTCATATGATGTAATACAAATCGCCCTGTATCCAATTTTTCATTATTAAAATATTCCAGTTTAATAAAATTCAAAGGATCTATATCAACCATTTGTATAGGTTTTGATTTTATAAAGAGTAAATCTTTCAACTCTGGTGGATAGTCCATCCCAATATTTATTATCCACAGTCGGTCTAAAAAAATCGACAATTAATATGCAGTATTATTTATGCTCATGGTAATTATGTACAAAGCTATAGGAAGATACAGAGTGCTCAAAGTCACACATAGGACCTGCAAGTACTTGATCAAACTTTCTTCTTGACAGCTTTTTTACCTGAAAAAGAAAGTATACGGAATATGTTAAATTTTTTATATTGGTAATGACGACGAAAATTATCAATGGTACATTATCAAAATAAATTGTCTAGTATAACAAGTCGTATAAAATACCTCAAATAATACTGTACATAAAATTTACAGAATGTAAATGTCATTAACATAAAAATATGATAAAAGAATAACAATAAATTTATTAAGGATTTAAGGATGTGTAAACATATAACGTAAATCAGTTTTACTGAACTCAAGTGACGTAATTAAATATAAATAATATTCACTGTCTTTAAATTATAACATTACGGTTATTTTCGCTAGAATTAGTTCGCGGCCGCCCGCACAAATTATTTTCAAAGGGAATTCAGGAGGCGTGAACGCTCCCACAACTAAATCACGCGCCGAACAAAAATGCGTAACTCGCTCATACAAGGTTCAGAATGAGGAGTGATACAATAGGTAGACAAATATGACAGAATCTTTATCTAAAGGCTTTTACTCAAAACTTTCTTCCTTCTTCTATTTCTCTTTCACTTTCTTTATCTTTCTTCCTTCTTCTATTTCTCTTTCACTTTCTTTATCTTTCTTCCTTCTTCTATTTCTGTCTCTTTCTTTCTCTTTCTTCCTTCTTCTATTTCTCTCTGTCTCTTTCTTTGTCACTTTCTTCTTTCTTCTACCTCTTTCTCTCTCCTCGCTCTTCCTCTTCTCGGCCGCTCGTCCTCATATCACATCTCGACAAAAAAAACCAAGCATAAGTGTGTACTCTACATGTACATATTCGCAAGTTGGCACAGTGCGTGGATCTCAAAGAGAGCTCGACGACAGAATGTCGGCCGTGCCGTGATTCTTCATCACAAAATGTAATCATTCGTTCAGCGTTTGATTTTCCATAAGAGTAGACGTGTTTACATTACGTTCAACTCGAAAAACGAAAGAGGAAGTAATAGTTAATTAAGCGAAGTGACAGTTAATTTAAATATATCCTACAATATCATGATAAAATCAAAGAAACAGCCAAAGTGGTTACTCGGTCAAGAGTCAATACGTACATTTCATCGCCACAAAATAACAAGAAAAGTAGAAAATTGTAAGCAAAAATGGATAACGGTAATAGAAAACGGATAGTAAAAGATGATAAATAAGTCCAGAATATCAACTTCTACAAAATAATTAAAATAAAAAAGAACATGAAATGCATACATAAAAAAGTAAATCTCCACCAATCTTTATTTATAACGTATAACATATTAGTCTATTAGAAAATCTATTAAACTAAACTACTACTAAACGTAATAGCCAAAGATAATTATATATCAATAGTGCTGGAGCAAAACAAAATGAAAATTCAACTGACAGCTCAGGAAAACATTTGCCAAATTCATAGGCCAACAAAATTTGTTGAAAAATGAAAGCCCATACTTAGAGAACAGACATAGTGTACCCGAAAGAAGTTAATACGTTGAGTCCGAATCTGAAGTCAGTATTGCTCTAATACCTTAGGTTTTTTATATACGAGTATCCTAACTTAATAAGTATGACAAATACTGTTTCGAACTTTTTTCACATCGCGATTTTTTGATTAATTGCAAATCCAAAGAAAGAATTGAATAGAGAAAGTCTTTTAATTTAAAAAATTACTACTAATTTTTCTGAATGGATTTTTATAAGCTGAGATATCGTAGTTTAATATAGAGAAAATTTGAGTTTTAAATGGTATCGCAACGCATATGGAAAATGCTCCCAGATGTGTAATTATGAAATACACTGCTTCATTTTCGATTAACAAATTCTAATTTAACATGGGGTCTGTACTCAAACAACAGTTAACGTGTGAAACAATCAAAAATTCAAATTTGTAGATAGGATTAGCATGAAATTACGATCCGCTATGGCTGAATTATAGAATAATATGTTATACGACATGTATTATATAGTTATAGTCGGCACAGCTCGCTGAAGAAACGACGGTACTCTTCGACTCGTTAACGGCTTCGGAAGCCGTTGTTACTGTTGTTGTTACCGCTTCTCTTTGCTTTCGTGGCTCTCTTGCTTGTTAAAGGCAGTATTTTAAAAGAGACGAGGTAAAACAAAATAAAAATTCAACAGAAAACTAGAGAAAAATATTTGGTAATAATTAGCGCATTAAAGAAAAAGAGCACGCAATTTTATTCATATCAGTGTAAGAAAGATAAGAATTTTAAAGTAATTTTTAGAAGTATACATCTTTTAATTGAAATAGATGATTTAAAAAAATTTTTACTATAGAAGAAGACAGGCAATGTACAGTGCCGCTCACGTACTTTTACCCCCCCACGGGCAAAATCAGTCTAACTTCAAAGTTTTATATCTCTGGTAGAAATTAACGTACAGAGACGCGCGTGGGTGTGTTTGAAAGGTCTTTCAGAGAGCTTTCAAATGATATGACTCACGGTTGCCATCGATTGTTTTTTTAAATTTTGCAACAATTATGCAAAATTGAAAATTCTGAAATTTTTTTATTATTTTTGACAATTAGCCAATTTTGGAAAAAAAATCGTACAAAAATTTGAAGTACACCATTTTTTAGCTAGTACGAAGCCCTATCTGAATCACTCATCAAAAATTTATTTTCGTCAAATATGACGCGCGCACGGGCATTTTTTCCTGGAAGTGACAGTTTTTTTCAACATTTTTTATCTCCGTCAAATTGTAACAATCGAAAAAATTTTATAGGAGAAAAAATGTTTGTTTTTTCACGTAGAATACTGCAATAATTTTCTTTTCGGTTTTTCGAAAAATTTTTTTTTTCGGTTTAAATTATTTTTCAAGGTCGAAAAAAAAAAGATTTTTTTTTTATGTAATTTACGATACTTGTTATGTAGTATTATTGAATGGGTGGAAAAAAATTTTTTTTTCTGGTTTCTCATCTTTTTAGCGTACCGACTGTGAGAAAAAAAAATTGAAAAAAACCGAAAAAAAAATTATTGCAGTATTCTACGTGAAAAAACAAACATTTTTTCTCCTATAAAATTTTTTTCGATTGTTACAATTTGACGGAGATAAAAAATGTTGAAAAAAACTGTCACTTCCAGGAAAAAATGCCCGTGCGCGCGTCATATTTGACGAAAATAAATTTTTGATGAGTGATTCAGATAGGGCTTGGTAATAGCTAAAAAATGGTGTACTTCAAATTTTCGTAAGATTTTTTTTCCAAAACTGGCTAATTGTCAAAAATAATAAAAAAATTTCAGAATTTTCAATTTTGCATAATTGTTGCAAAATTTAAAAAAACAATCGATGGCAACCGTGAGTCATATCATTTGAAAGCTCTCTGAAAGACCTTTCAAACACACCCACGCGCGTCTCTGTACGTTAATTTCTACCAGAGATATAAAACTTTGAAGTTAGACTGCTTTTGCCCGTGGGGGGGGGGGGGGTAAAAGTGGCTGACCGGCACTGTAAAAAGCATCCATAATATTCAGCACCATGTGACGAAGATACCGTTCCAACTGTTCACCGTTGAATAAGAACACGATTATAACAGTTAACAAATATATGAAGTTTATAGATTGTTAAATGATTTGAGCCGTTAATGCCAAAAAAAACATCCGACAATTTTCCATATCCGACGACGTTCAGTAATAATTCGTGCACATAACAAATTACTATAATAAAAATGTGATTTGTAGATAATGTCCAAGGCAATACGTACCTTAAGATACACTATTTTTAAGAACACTATTTTTTGTACTGTTTTACGACACGTAATATAGTAAATCAGCTCGAGTGATTTAAAAATCGCACTAATAATGAGAAAATTAAATTAAACCAAAATTAAATTGACGTGTTTCCGGATTTAAAAAAAAATATATTTACGGGGTGTTTCACCCCCTAGACCACCCCCGTCAAACTATCAGAAGGTTAATCCACCTAACCCTGGGATAAACAATTTAGTCGTTTGTTATTTCTTGAAATAATTTAATCCTATGTACGAGCGAGCTACCTCAACTGACCAACCTGCCTCTAACCCACCAAACCCCCATAAACCACCCTTACCGAACCACATGCAGGCTATCCCACCTAATCCTGTGAAAAGCAATTTTAGTCGTTTGTTATTTCTTGAAATAAGTGAATTTTACACCATAAGAGAGTTATCCCAGCTGTATAACATACCTCTTATCCACCTACCCGTAACCTATCTAACCCCCACTATTATAAACCACCCTTACTGAAACACAAGCAGGGTAAACCTCTTAACTCTGGGAAACACGAGTTAAGTCGTTTGTTATTTCCTGAAATAATTTAATCCTACGCCTGAGCGAGCTATCTCAACTAACCAACCTGCCTCTAACCCACCAAACCCCCATAAACCACCCTTACCCAACCAAACGTAGGCTAATAGACCTAACTTTGCGAGAATTGAGTTTATCAGTTGCTTTTTCTTAAAATAATTAATTTCTACTCCGTACGTGTGGTATCCCATTTTTTTTGATAAAATATATCTGTAGCTCAAACATAATTTATGAGAAATAAAAATATGTTTTATACATTTTATTTTAATAATACTAAAATGGCGAGAAATATCTCTTAAAAATAAACACGAAAATAACACGAGGTATAATTATCATTTATAGATTTATACATATATATTTCTATTCGTATGAAGATACATAAATATATTTACATAAGAGCCATCGTACGCGATAATACATATATTTTGATTTTTCATAATAATTTTCATCTTTTTCTTTTTTTTAATTATTGGTAAATTAAAATGTATCATTCAACGAATTCCTTACAGAAATGATAATCATCGAAAAAGTGTTTGAAACATAATGATCTTTTACACCAACCACACCGTATTATAGCAACATTTTTACATGCTTCTACTTCGCTATGTATTGTTACGTCTCGTGCATAAACTACGAATAGCGAATGTGCGAAACGTACCAATATAGTACTAGTGGCTGATTGAGGCTCACAAGTAATGAGGAATATACGATATATGAATAAGAATGAATG